TGAATAATGACTCTATATAATCATATAAGAATAAAACACGGAGGATGGAGATCTCTATTCCTCCCCCTCTTCTGACAGCCCAGCAGCTGATCTCAGAGCAAGCTCCCCTCTCCTGCAGGGGGGCGTGGTCAGCTACGTCACAGAATCAGCCCCCTGCAAAAACAGGGCTGGAAAGAGCAAATAGAGCAAAATGAGGCATGGCTAAAATGCAGGATCTGTTTGGTATTTTGAAAAAAAAACTATATTTATCTACTTTATATAGGTATGGCCCTACAATATATTGTTCAAATATAGCATGATAGGTCACCTTCAAGCTAGCTCCAGACTGATTCTGTTAGCCGTGTTCTGTTAAAAAATAAATAAATAAAATTAACATTAGGGCAGAGGTGGGAAGTAACTAAGTACATTAACTCAAGTACTGTAAACAATTTTGAGACACTTTGAGATATTTCCATTTTCTAATACTTTTTACTCCACTACAATTTAGAGGTAAATGGTGTACTTTTACTCCACTACATCTATTTATTCTCTTGGTTTACTTTGCACATTTTGATAATTAATGTGAAATATAATCAACACTTAAATCAGACTTTAGTTCCACCTGGAGTCAATTCACAAGCTACCCTGCAGCATGTGGAATAACTCAAACTAGCTGCACCTTTACCAGCTTTGATAACACTTTAATGATCAATCATTATAATCAAAACATATATTATTCTGGAATCGGTGAATTTACATATTTAATAATTATATTCGTGGTACTTTAAGTATTGAGGCTATTCATGTTACTTTTACTTTAGTAACCTTTAGAATACATGACTTTTACTTGTAACAGAGTATTCCTACACTGTTACTTCTACTTTGACTTAAGTACAAGACCTGAGTACTTCTTCCTTCTTTCGGGGGAACAATGTGATGAAACTACGGATATAGTTTTGAGTAATATTTGTTTTTCTACTGTTGTCTCAACAACATATACATGAGCAAGTGAGCGTTGTAGTGAAATGATGGAAATTAAAAGTTTACTAATTTTGCCAATATCTGCCTGAATTAAGCTTCCATGTTAACCTTATTTGTACATAACTAACTGGTTCTTTACTTGAGTATTTAAATGCAATGCTTCTAGATTTGATATTTGTTTACTCAACTATAGATATCTGACACTCAGTTAGGCTACTTGTAACGTTTGACATATGAAACATGATAATATGATGCAGGACTCTACTACTTGTATCAAATTGGCTCCACCTTGACACACTACAACATTAAAATGCTCCTAACTGTATTTGTTAGACGTAAAAACAGAATATACTATTCTATAATAAAACAACACTGTGAAATTGAGAGATGAGATTGGTGCATAATGATAACTTTTACTGGAACTGAAAGTACATTTTGCTGATAATTACTAGCATTTTGAATTCAGTTCAACTTTCAATGGAGTATTTTTAGACCATAGTGTTTTCTGCGTTGGGGAGGAGAGGAGAGCTGTGTTGTGTTTGGAGGAGGGACTTCATCATTTAAAGAAGTAACAAGTTCCTGGTTAGCCAGTAAAGAAAGACAGTCAGCGGTAAACCATCAGAGTCTCAGCATGGAAGTCTCTCACACTTTGATCTGCTTCTTCTTCCTCTTCTGTGAGTACTTTATTTCATCTCAGTAATTTCTTTTTTTTTTCTTTTTCTGTTATTCTTGAGTTAATGCAAGGCTCCAGCAGTACGAGTTATTCACATATTCCAAAATTAGGCTTTTTAATACCATCCAACCAATGAAGTATGCTTCACTTCCTCAAACTAACTGTACATCATCATCAAACTCAGTTATTATCTGCTCACTGAATTAGTAACATTTAGTCATTAAGAAATAATGAATATGATTGTTTTCATAATCATTTAATCTGCAAATAATTTTCTTGATTCATTTATTAATCTTTTGATTTGTATTCTGCCGCTAATGTTATTTTAAACTTTTTATCATATTTGTATCTTATTGTATCTTTTAAACATTTATAACTCACGTACGGCTTGACACTGCTGCTGGAACTAAAATGATTTCCCAATTTGGGATAAATAAAGTTTATATCTATCTAAGTGTTTTGTCCAAAAATGTCATAAATTAAAAAAAAGGTGTTGTTGACATAAAACACTTTTTAGGTGATGTACTTTAAGGATTTGCGTTAATGTAACGCTTAAAGTAAGAGATGGAGACTTCATGTAGTCTTTGTGTCTAAAGGATAAAGATCTCAGATCAAACGGTCACATTAACCTGCAGTGCTGATGGTGATCTTCAGTCAGGCTGTGGTTTAACTCTGAGGATCTGTGTTCATGTGAAACAGGAAGTGTTGTCATCAGACTGCAGCATCTTACAGGAAGTACAGACCACTACTAATGATGGCTCATCTTTTGTTCATCTTTTGTTCAGCTCTGCAGGATGGAAACACCGGTCTCGTCAGTGCCCGACTCTCTGTCTATTCAGGAATTGAAGGAGACGATGTCAGATTTAAATGCTCCTTTCCTTCTTATAGAAGCAGGAAGTTCTTCTGTAAGGAACCATGTGAACAAGAAGACATTCTCATTGAAACAACTGGTGCCTCAGCTCAGAGAGGCAGATACAACATTGATGATAAAGATGGAGGTTTTTTTGTCACCATCACTCAGCTGACCAAGTCTGACTCAGGACGCTACAGGTGTGCTGCGGTTACATCTTTGACATGGGATTTATACGAGGATATTGAGATCATCGTTGTTGATGGTGAGTTTCTACTAAAACTGAATCTTCTTCCTTGTCTTAATAATAGTTTTACCTTTTCACCATTACCTCATCTAAACCCTACATGTCTTCTGAAAGTAACTCATAAACCGAAACTGACACACGTACACATACAAGTGTATTTCAATATTATTGTTTAGAATATTATTGATGAATAATTTAATACCGGGGTCACGAGCATATTGATCTGTTGTCTCTGTTCTTATCTGAATGAAGTAGATCATATGGCCGCTCTGTGTTCTGTTAACAAGTAAGACAATTAGTAATAGATTGAGATCAATAGAAAATAACAACTGAAATGGTGGTTTGTGGCTGCGGTCGGGATTTAAAGGAATACTTTACCCCCAAATTACCATTTTCAGATCATCTTGAATTTGATAACTCAAGATGACTCCACGGTGAACAAGGAATCCCAAAATGGAGAAAAGTCTTAATGAATGTTAAATTAATTGGGGCCGTGTTTTACAACAGTAGAAATATATTAAAACATCCGTTAACTAACTCGAACACAACTAATGCAGTATAGTCCAAATGTCATTTATTGTATGCTCACTACTTCCCTAAAACATGCATTCTGCTTAAACCTCACCGTTTAAAACACTTCTGCAGAAAGAGACGAGCTCCTCTTTTCTCAAGAACAGTTAATGCCGAAGTGTTTAGATGAGTAATGTTTTAGGGAAGTTATGAGCAAATGAATTCAAGGTAACTCAGGGTATGTAATAATATAACAATGATCATTTCAAGGGATAAAGAAATTATTTCAAAAATAAATGTCAGTATTTGCTAGTGGAGCCTCGCAGCCCGGCGACACTGTAGGTGCGCCGCGGGGGGGGGGGGGGGGGGGGGGGGGGGGGGGGAATCGCAAATGGACGCCCCTTCCCGCTTCCATTTGCGATGTCTCGCTGTCTCGCAGCAAGCAGGAAACCACACCAGTCAGCCGGCTCCTCGCAGCAGCGAGCCAGTGGGCGAGCTGACCAATCAGAGCAGGGGGGGGGCAGGAGCTCCAACAAGGCGTGTAGGACAGAGAGTGAATACCATATAGTCTATGGTGAATACACATACTATACACAGAGATGCTGTATGAGAAACCAATCTGAGTTTGGAAAATTGCACATTTCATTTCAAACCTTTAATTATCCAGGTGTATCCCATTGAGATCTTTGATCTCTTTTTCAAGGGAGACCTGCTCAAGTAGTTCCACATGAAACATAAAAACATAAACAGAACAACAAAAAGGACATCATACAGCATCATTTACATAACTATCCACATGAGCAGGTACCAACAGCTTCCGATTGAGTAGCATCCAACCGAGCTTTAAAAACATTTAGTGGCACCAGATTGCTCAGTTTCCATTTAATTTGCAGACTATTCCAAGACAGAGGAGCTGCGCATGTAAAAGCTGTCTTCCCTAAAACAGTCCTAGCAGTTGGCACATTTAATAAAACCACAGCATGCGATCTCAGGCAGTAGCCACTTACAATTCACCGTGAGATCAGGGAGCAGATATAAGATGGAAGTTTCCCTAACATGGCTTTGTATATAAAAATGTACCAGTGACTGAGCCTCCGTACAGTTAGTGAAAGCAAACCAGCCCTTGCATACAGGGTACAGTGATGCGTTAATGCTTTACAGTTTGTAACAAATCTCAGTGCGCTGTGATACGCAGCATCTAACTTGACCAGGCAATGGGCAGGTGCATTCATATAGATCAAATCACCATAGTCCAGCACAGGTAAAAAGGTCACAGTGACTAGCCTTTTCCTGGCTTCAACAATGGAATTATGATCAGTAGAAATGGCCATGTCATGGGACCTTTAAGTTAAAAAGCCTTCATCAAAGAGTCACACCTTAACCCTCAGTGACTGGATCAAGTTTTTAAAACACACACATGGTGAAACTAAGATTTGTAATCTACACATAGTAACTTTTGATTGTTTGTTTTTTTCAACAGCAATGCTGGATGGTGGTCCTTCTGCAGAAAAACAATCGATGCTAGAACTGGAGGAAATATTACAGTTCGATGCAATATTATTCACTATAGAGCCGACAAGTACTTCTGCAAGGAAGAATGTAAAAAAGGAGACAATCTTGTTGAAACGATTAGTAAATCAGATCAGGAAAATGGCAGATACAGGATCAGATATACTCAAATAATTCCAACAGGATATTTCTGTATGTGAGCATCGACCAGCTGACCCAGTCTGACTCAGGATGGTACAGGTGTGGTCCTGGGCAGACCTGACTCTAAAGATCTATACCAGAGGTTTAGGCTCATCGTCACTGATGGTGAGTTTCTGCTTGATAATGAAAATGTTTGTTCATGTCTCTGAAGACAGTTTTCACTGACAGCTGCTGATGCTTTAAACTCTCAATTCAGTTCAGCTGACACACACAGACACTCAGGAGGATCTCATTTCTCTCATCAGGACTTCTTTGTATCTGCTTGTTTTTGTTCACAGCTCTGACCACTTCTCCTAAAACTACAGAGCAGCCTGAAACAACTAAAGGTACATCCACACACTGTGTTTACTAGATAACGTTTAAACAACTTGTGAGACATGAAAGAGCATGAGAATGTCCAAAAGTTTACAAAAGTAGATTTTAAAATGCTGAACCTCCAAATCAGGTTCCCAGTGTTGAAAAGATTTACTCTATTTCGACAGTATAAGGCAAATACTGTTGACCTGTTGTCTTCACCTAAAGATAACATGTCCCCCCCTTGAAAAACAAAATGGATTATGGGTACTCTGAGTGTTAGATGTCATGGTTTACATTTAACTCTTCAAACACCCACAGGTGTGATCCTGTATGTGTTTCTGACTCTGGTCGTCCTGGTCATCGTGTCATCCCTGTCTGTGCTGGTATTCTGCAGGAAGAGGATTTGTAAAGACAAAGGTGAGGAACCAGGTAACACACACACACACACACACACACACACACACACACACACACACACACACACACACACACACACACACACACACACACACACACACACAACACAGCACACACAACACACACACACACACACCACACACCCAAACACAGCCACACACCACACACACACACAAACACACACACACACACACACCACCCAAACACACACACACACACCCACACACACACACACACACACACACACACAACACACACACACACACACACACACACACACACACACACACACACACACCACACACACACACACACACACACACACACACACACACACACACACACACACACACACACACCACACACCACACACACTCACACTCACACTCACACCCAAACAGACCACACACTCTAAACATTTCTCACTGAAAGTTGTAGTTTTCTCTTGACTCTATATTAACTTTAAAAGCAGACGCACAATTCTAAAATAGCTTAGAAAATAGCAACACCAGACTGGGTGTACGGATATTAATTTACAGCATTTAAATTAACCCAACTGCTGCTCAGTCTAAAGGTGTTGTTATCAGCGGTTCTTGTAGAGCGATAATCCTTCAGTTGTTGCTAGGAAACAGGTGCTAGATTTATGCTTTGTCAGTTGCAACATCACGAACATAGAACATATAGTAGTACTATCTACTGTATGCAACTAAACAATAATACCATATGAAAAAAACCACACATTTAAATCTATATCACACCTGACTGCAAATCAGCCTATCTACAAAACCTATGCCATTTATAAAAATAAGCTTTTTACAAACACACACAATAGAGAGAGCTGAGAGGATAGCTTCCTCTATTTTGGAGACTCAGTGAAGTCAGATCTGAGGCTTTTTTAAGTTAATATGCATTTTAGAAACATGTACAGCCATAGCTCATTGTAACCTTATTTTATATACTTATTCAATTTGTTTTAATAGTTTACATTTGGCAGGATGGTTAATGATTAAATATACTGTATATGCTGTTGTTTACTGTGACGGCTGTCAACTCTCCGGTCCTGGTAATTCTGTTTTGCTGTATATGTATGTAAATGAGCTGTGTGGTTGCCCCAACGTCATTGGCTGCCCATCTCCTGGTCCGCCTCCGAGGACACTGATTGGAGCACGCCGGGCTCGACGCACTCCAATCCCTGTGCAGCCCCAGCGCACACCTTCCGGAGATGACTACAAAAGGCGCATTCACACCGCAGTACTTTTCCCACAAAGGTTCCTGAGAATTTAGTTCATGAGAACTCTTTAGTTCTCATGAACCCACTAGGGATGAGGAAGGTAACACACACCAGATGGTTTTTGGTAATAATTATAAAAGGGTTTAATGAATAACAACAAAAAGGTGCACAACAAAATGAGAACAAAAGTATCCTAAGCCAAACAAAGGAGCCAAAGGGCGCAGGTATACTGCTAAATAACAGAAGGAGGACTCTAAAGGTGAGCCTAATCACACACCTGTAATCACTATCAATCACCACTAATAGAAGGAGGCTGCGGGGGGAAATGCAGCTAAACAAAGGGAAAACTACACACACTACTCCAAACACATATATCAACACGCTACTCTAAGCACATATATCAACACTAAACACGGATCACACAAGTTCTAATAAGTCTAACGTGTCCACGACACAGGAGCAAAATGAGTGAGGCGTCTGATCGCAGCAGAGCCTCCGAGTGATAGGTGTCCCCAGGCTTTGTAGTCATCTCCGGAAGGTGTGCGCTGGGGCTGCACGGGGGATTGGAGTGCGTCAAGCCCGGCGTGCTCCAATCAGTGTTCTCGGAGGCGGACCAGGAGATGGCAGCCAATGACGTTGGGGCAACTACACAGCTCATTTACATACATATACAGCAAAACAGAATTACCAGGACCGTAGAGGCGACAGACGTCATATTTACAAACTCAAAACACATCTATTTATCTTGTTTTACTCTGATTTTAACGGTTGGCCTAAATATTGTTTCAAATGGGGAATGTGTGATGTCATGTTTGAAAATCTGTTCTGATTCTTTTTCTCAAAGTACTGGTTGTGTTTTTCAGAACCTCATGTGGAAACACTATGTGCTTCTGCACCAGAGGTGAGTTTGAGAAAATAGACTAACAGACCTCTAGACCAACAAAGTGTACAAGGGTCTATGTGAGATCTCCTGGGGAAATCTCTTCAATTTACACTTACGCCAAATAAACACAACCAAGTTGACCCAATGATTACTACAACGATGTCTCTGCAGCTAGTTTACAAAATACACCCAAAAAGTTATACAATTTTAAACTTTGGGATCACGAAACATCAGCTCGATACGGCTACATTTTTTTCATATTTACTGAAATACCAGATTTGGCTTTGATTCATCTCGGACAGATTCTGCAGTAATATACGTGTAAATGAAAAAAATACCTAAACAAACACAACTCTTTTCAGTTTTGTATTAAGTTACTTCACAACCAAGTCCAGTTCCTTGTTTTGTTCTGTTGTTAAAGACACATTTAATCAAGCAATGCTTTTCCCTCCAGGCTGAAGACGACCCGAGTCAACACACCTACTCTGAGATAACATTTGTCAGCGTCGGCTCGTCCCACAGCGGGTTTTCTGAGTGTGTTATCTACTCTGTTCCTCGGGTGGAAGCTAGCTCTGATGAGCCCCCTCTGTACTCTACTGTTAACAACCCCCAATAACTCTCACAGTCTGGCAGAAGAAGCTGGTGTGGATTAAGCAGCCGTGTAAATATTCTGAAACAGAGAGATGTTTGTGGGAATATGTACAATTATCTAACCATTTACTTATTTCAAACCTGCTTTGAATGACCTGCTCATGTGATGATAAGTCCAGCTCTGCTCTAGTTCACAAACGTGCCTCTTCAACAGTTTGCTTCAGGTCAAAGCTGGTTGCACTTATTGTACGTCCCTTTGGATAAAAGCCTCAGCTAAACGATATTTAATGTAAAAAGCTCTTTTATGGCTTCAATTTATTTATAAAGTTCATTTTATTACACTTGATATGGTTTTAAAGTTATCTCTGTAAGATATACTGTTCTAGTCAAGTTAGCAGATTAGCATAAGATATGTTGCTCCGAATTAGCTTTGACTATTAAATTGACTATTTTGGTTAAAGAGTTCATTTAAAGAAATGTTTAATTATAACGGAATGTAAATAAATAGATATGAAACTATAGATGTGGTCAGTACGGGATACAAGATGCCACTCCTCATACTGTTGCATAATGTGTCAGACTTCTAACCTGTTTGTATTGTTGATATATATATATATATATATTTGCACCTTTTTTTATAGTTTTATTTTGATATTGCATTTCATATTAGCACTTGTCCTGCTCTGTACTGCATCTGCTTCACAACACAATTTCTACATATACAAATAAAAGTTATCTTAAATTATTTCTGAAATGTGTTTGACAATAATTTAATAATTTAAAAGCTATATGAAGTGAAACCATACGTGATACACATGCAGGTGTTAGAGGAGAGTCAAGCTGTGAGTGTTTTATTTTAAGCAGGGACTCCATCGTTTAGAGAAGTGAAAACGTGTTGGTTTGCCGGTGAAAGAAAGAGAGACAGCGTTCAACCATCAGAGACTCGAACATGGACGTCTGCCACCGTTTGATCTTCTTCGTTCTCAGTGAGTACACTTTGTAGTTCTGTCATTTCTCTATAACGTCATCTTCCTTTCTGTATTTCATGTTAAACTCCCCAGCTGTATGGTCATCAGCTGTTTGTTTGTTTGTGTGGGTAAAGGTGTGACCAGCCATGAATATGAGTCACATTATTTTTATTTAACATAAAAACATATGAGCATATTCCTAATGTATCTGTAATCAACAACTTTTTTTACCTTCATCCAAAGGTTTTTACAATATAATTGCAATCAACCATGAGGATACCAATTCAGCAACAATCTACAAACACATACGCTTTCAAATACATTTCTAATAGCCAGGTTAGTTTTTATAGTCTCACTTTGTAGTTTTCACATTGGTTCTGCTGAGACTTCACACAGGAAACTACCTCTCTAACACAATAAGCAAAAAGCGTTGTTACGATGTGAGGTGCAGGGTGAAAGAACGATACGTGGAGAGAGGGTTTTTCTTGCAAAAAATAAACAGACGTTTTATTCTTAGCCTTCCACATTATTCCACAGAAACACAAACTGCATGCCTGGTGCTGCATTCACCAGCAAGGAACAAACACAAAAACGAATGCCCCTTCCCCTCTCTTCCCAACCACATTTATAGAAGACTGCCCGCCTTCCCACTCCAACCTGGCCAATCAGGTCATGGTTCTGAAAGCGGAGTGAAGGGTTAATTACAAAATTAAACATTGTTGTCTACCTTTAATAAAACCCTAAAGGCTTAAGTAAATTCATTATTGCATCGCCATAAATATTATACCTTCAAGAACAACAAGGTCTGCTTAAAACGGATAGTTTTTAACCTAATTGACACTCATAAAATCACACATTTCCTGACCAATCGCGTCCAAGACTCCGCCTACTCATACGGCACATATAAGGAGTACTTTGGAGGCGTGCTCCCCCTTTGAGCACTGGGACAAGATGGCCTCCAGGTCTGAACAAAGGAAATGGTGATTACTTGGTGCTTAGTGTGTTTTACAAACTGACGAATTTAGACGCATTTTATTAGTTTGTCTATGTAAACTGTTTTTATAACTTTAACTGAAATAAAGACAACTCAGAAAAAAACATGTACTAACCTTCTTAAAACAAATAGTTAAGACCAACATGTTAGTGAGGGAGTGCACTTCCTCACAAGCGTTCACGGAGAAACCTGCTAGAGGCTCCCAAAATAAATCTTTCTCAGGAAGTCTCTGCAAATGCTTGTGTTGACTTCAGGGTTGATTAATCAGTCAATATGCCCTCTTAGATTAGAACTCCAGGGTTCATTCACTTGCTTTTCTGGAGATTTCAACATGCGGTGGTGGCGAAGTGGGGCAGTGGTGGCGAAGTCCATAGGGGACTTGGCTTGGCAACTGGAAGGTCACCAGTTCAAGTCCCGGAAAGACCCAGTGCTACCAAAGTGTCCCTGAGCAAGGCACGTCCCTACATTGCTCCCCGGGCGCCGTACATAATGGCAGCCCACTGCTCCTAACACTAGGATGGGTCAAATGCAGAGAAACCGTTTTGTTACATGGTACCTGTACTGGTAATGACAATAAGTTGAATCTATCTATCTATGTAACCATCTTATTGGTTGTCATGGAGAAAGGGGGGGTTTCAAATTAATTCAGCAAATTGAATTGCATTGACTTAAAAAATGTGATCAACTAATGTAAATATGACATATGTTTATTTTACGACAGAAAATTCAAATGTAACAGCTTCTAGTTTGACTTAATGTATGAACAGTTCAACTCTCTGTTCTACTTAATATATTCATATACTTCACAGTGTACACACATTGACTGTTATGGTATTTAATATTATTAATCTTAAATTAAAGTTTTCTTCTTAATGGACTAACAGCTCTTCTCCTGCCTCGGTAAATTAAGCTAGCTCCAGGACTGTTTCCCTTAGCCGTTAAAAACGTTATTTTCGGTTTGAATTTAAATGTTAGTACATTACATTTAGAAGTATGAGAACAAAATGTGATGATACTATGGTGAAATGTTAAGTTATATTGTGTTTTAAAAATCGACAAACTAAAACATTTTTTAATACGTTTTACAGTGCAGTTTCCGGTGTTAGAAAGTGACGAAGAACGAGCTGTGCTGCGTTTTCATATTGTTGATCTTAGAATGAGCAGAAACTGATGAATAATATAAGAGCACAGTTTAATTTAGTTTTAACAGTTACATAAAAGTGACACTTTTCAATGGAGAAGGTACAAAGAACATCGGGAGGGGCCGTTTTCTTCTTAATATGCTAACCTCACTTCACCTGCCTCAGTAACTTAAAGGGGACCTAAATGCACTTTTGTACGTCTTTTATACATGAACATGTGTGTCCGGTGTGTCAGGGAACTCACCAAGTGTCAGAAACACAACCCTCTCTATTTTCCTCCATACCCAAATCTCTAAAAAACGGGGGCTGCAACGGATCTGATACAGACTGATACAGATTTGAAAATTCTCTGACGTCAGGAACGAGGAGCTCCGCCTATATGGCCAACTCTCCACCTATCAGGGGAATGTGAGGTTGGGCCATTGCCGCTCGAAAGCGCTGGAGACGCTGTAGTACATATGCCAGGCCTGAAAGTGGCGCTGCAGTCTGCCACAAAAGCAGCGAAGAAGACTTCCCGCGCATGGTTGCCCTTCTGTTTATTCTCCGCTGTGGCTCTTTTCTCCCTCCCCGAGGCAAGCGTTTGCGTTTCCTGCTGCTGTTATCATTGCAATCCCTCCCACGCTGTAATTCTCTCCGGCGGTAGTCCACCAGCAGATGACAAACACCCACCTTTCCGCCTCTTCCAAGGGACGAGGGGACCGTGCGGCAGAGTTTCAGTTCGATTTGTTGTTGCCGGTCAACATGTTCATTAAAGTTGAAATCTTCCGGACAAAATTAGAAAAGTGCCGGTCAAAGGTCTTCTTTGTTATTTATTGAGCTTTAAAATAAATGAATAATGACTATATAATCATATAAGAATAAAACACGGAGGATGGAGATCTCTTTTCCTCCCCCTCTTCTGACAGCCCAGCAGCTGATCTCAGAGCAAGCTCCCCTCTCCTTCAGGGGGGCGTGGTCAGCTACGTCACAGAATCAGCCCCCTGCAAAAACAGGGCTGGAAAGAGCAAATAGAGCAAAATGAGGCATGGCTAAAATGCAGGATCTGTTTGGTATTTTGAAAATATATATATATTTATCTACTTTATATAGGTATGGCCCTACAATATATTGTTCAAATATAGCATGATAGGTCACCTTCAAGCTAGCTCCAGACTGATTCTGTTAGCTGTGTTCTGTTAAAAAATAAATAAATAAAATTAACATTAGGGCAGAGGTGGGAAGTAACTAAGTACATTAACTCAAGTACTGTAAACAATTTTGAGACACTTTGAGATATTTCCATTTTCTAATACTTTTTACTCCACTACAATTTAGAGGTAAATGGTGTACTTTTACTCCACTACATCTATTTATTCTCTTGGTTTAGTTTGCACATTTTGATAGTTAATGTGAAATATAATCAACACTTAAATCAGACTTTAGTTCCACCTGGAGTCAATTCACAAGCTACCCTGCAGCATGTGGAATAACTAAAACTAGCTGCACCTTTACCAGCTTTGATAACACTTTAATGATCAATCATTATAATCAAAACATATATTATTCTGGAATCGGTGAATATGTAATCATTATATTTTTGGTACTTTAAGTATTGAGGCTATTGATGTTACTTTTACTTTAGTAACCTTTTGAATACATGACTTTTACTTGTAACAGAGTATCCCTACACTGTTACTTCTACTTTGACTTAAGTACAAGACCTGAGTACTTCTTCCTTCTTTCGGGGGAACAATGTGATGAAACTACGGATATAGTTTTGAGTAATATTTGTTTTTCTACTGTTGTCTCAACAACATATACATGAGCAAGTGAGCGTTGTAGTGAAATGATGGAAATTAAAAGTTTACTAATTTTGCCAATATCTGCCTGAATTAAGCTTCTGTGTTAACCTTATTTGTACATAACTAACTGGTTCTTTACTTGAGTATTTAAATGCAATGCTTCTAGATTTGATATTTGTTTACTCAACTATAGATATCTGACACTCAGTTAGGCTACTTGTAACGTTTGAAATATGAAACATGATGATATGATGCAGAATGTACTGCTTATATAAAATTGGCTCCACCTTGACACACTACAACATTAAAATGCTCCTACACGTATGTGTTAGACATAAAAACAGAATTATTTATACTATATTAAAACAACACGATGAAAGGAGCTATTATGCATAATTATTACTTTTACTGATACTAAAAGTACATTTTGCTGATATTTACAATTCATTACTTTCAATGGAGTATTTTTAGACCATAGTGTTTCTGCGTTGGGGAGGAGAGGAGAGCTGTGTTGTGTTTGGAGGAGGGACTTCATCATTTAAAGAAGTATCAAGTTCCTGGTTGGCCAGTAAAGAAAGACAGTCAGCGGTAAACCATCAGAGTCTCAGCATGGAAGTCTCTCACACTTTGATCTGCTTCTTCTTCCTCTTCTGTGAGTACTTTATTTTCATCTCAGTAATTTCTTTTTTTTTTCTTTTTCTGTTATTCTTGAG